AAGCTGGTAAAAACATTTCTATAAATATCCAGGACATTTAAAACTACAAACAGTTAAACATAAAATTAGTAAAAATAAAAAATGCTTAAAAAAGTGGCAAGTTTTGAGACTTAAAAATTATATTAAATAGGAGGTATAATTTGTTCTTTTTGTTTTTGATAATGTTTTAAAAACACTACTTGTGTTCATGATTAAATGCAACAAAATAAACTCATTCAAAGGTAACAGAACTTTGTAATACTTGGTTTATTTACAAAACTTTATATAACTTTAGTTGCTGGATGTTCGGACCCGGAGCAGTTGCCTCAGAGTCAGTTTGTTGGTTAAACACTAAAATAAACTTCAACTGAACTGAACTTACTTTAATATTATGATCATAAACAGACAAGAAGACTTGAACTTTAAACAATTAAACTGTAAAAGTGTTTAAATGAGACTTTTATAAAATTTATACATCCAGGAGAAAACATTGAAGGGTTGCAAACTTTTAAAACTTTGATGTGAAATTTGCAGAAGAAACCCTGATTTGTTTGCTGGTTTTAAATCAAACCGTGAGGTTATAAATAAAACTGAGCCTTTTAAATTAAATTTCTCTTTCGTTGTTTCCAAGCAGCAGAAAATGTGGACAAGCCCTGTGAGGATGGGACGTCGCCCCCAGGCTTTTGTTTCCTGCCAGAGGAAAACTTCAATCACTTGGCTGCAGCGTTAGCCCCGCCCCTTTACTGTACGGAGCCTCTGATTGGTTCTGCAAGCCTCGGTGAAGACTGATCATCCAATCAGAGACCAGGTGAGTAAGTGTTCCTCTTCACAGCTGCTGCAGTCAGTTTGCAGCAGTGTGTGTGTGTGTCTGTCTGTGTGTGTGTGTGTTTGTTTATCTGTGTGTGGCCACGGTCTTCTCCACTCTCCCCTCTACTTCCTCTGCTAAACACTCATCCCACCCTTCTTTCCACCCATCCCCCCCTCTCCTCATGATTTCCCTTCATGAAAACTAACTCTTTCCTGCCACATGAGCAGCAGCAGCCGGCTGTGTGTGAGTCACTGCACAAAGTTACACCGGTGTGTTTGTGTGTTTCCACACAGCAGCAGCAGCTCCTCTGCAGCACGTTCAGCTCCAGATAAAAGCGAGGAGATCTCTGGAGGCAGCAGGTAAGGACAGCCTCGTCACCTGGAAGTGTTTGTGACACCATGTTGTTGTCGGGACCGTGGTGGGCTTTGTTGCTCCTCAACGTTTTTCTGAGACGTTACTGGTCAAACCTGGCTTACATGATCTCCCATCAAAACGTGCAGCTTTAGTTTGATGGTTTAAACTGGAGTGTGAGTGGCTGTTCAGGGTTAGCCCCTCCTTTAGCCCAGAGATATGGGATCAATCTTGTGCCAGCAGGAAGTGAATCTGAATTGCTCAGATTGAATCTGAATGTGCATAGTTTGAAATTGAATGCATTGGTTTGAAAAGGAATTTAATGGTTTGAAACTGAATTTAAAGTTTTGTATCTGAATTAATTTGCTTTGAAACTGTATGTTATGGACTAATTATTTAAATCTGTTCTACCTTGACACCGTCCAGTAATCATATCTTATGATTAACTAGTTTCGGCTGTTTTACTCTATCGGCCCTAGACTTTAAGACTCCAGCAATGCATGACCTCTCTTATTTTGAAAAGGTAGCTTCTGGGCTGAGAGCTCTGTAATTGGTTATGTGGTTACATTTGGCGATCAGTGATTGGTTGTAAGCCTGTCACATGATGTTATATTATCGGCCACTCTCCGCTAAGGAGCTAGCCACAACACGACAGACTTAGCTGATTGACTTCTGTTTGTTGTCGCTCAAGATTAAATCATTTGACGACCATACACGCAGACTTTCTGTGCATTCATTCCAACGTGTTTCTGCATTCTTGGTAAATCGTGCCACTACACTGTATTTTGGTTTATTAAAAATTCAGTTTGACTACTTTCACTTTCAGTTCCATAATTAGAGACGTGACATTTGCGAACGATCCGAATCTTTTGAACGACTCTTTTACAACGAACGATAGGAGCCGAGTCACGGGCAGTAAGGAGCCGTTTGTAGTTTTATTTCTTTTATCACTCATATAATCTTTATTTTTTCATACTTAAATCGCTCCCGCTTTGCTTTTTCACGGAAAACAGGCGAAGTTGTGGAGTACAGAAGCTCTCGGTGGAAGGTGGAGGGGGGGTTTCCGCTTGAAAAACACATGGTTCCGCCCACGCGACGGGATTACGTCATTACGTACGGCTACGTGATGACGTAATACGTTCAAAATCAACGGCTCTTTTGAACTGCTTTATGAAACAAACGGCTCCCCGAGATCCAGATCCCTTCAAAGAGCCATTTATCCCATCTCTATCCAAAATTCAGATTTTTGTGTCACATCCTGGTCCTTGAGAAAGCCAGGCATAGTTGTAAGAAATATTCGTGTTCAAAGACTGAAGTCAATAGAAAACCACTAATGTTAAATAGTATGAATGTTAGACGGGATAAAACCATACAAAACCAGAATTCTGGAGTGAGGGTTTATTGTCACCGCTGACAGGAAACCACACACTGCCGGCAAACCAGGAAGTTGATCCATTTATAGAGTCTTCAATGCCCGCGTTCGCCCCCTACTGACCTACGGCTGAATCACAGGCATTCATACACAATTCTCCCCTACATGTTCTCATAACAGATAAATATGTGTTGTTATAGATATTTCGGACATGTAACTAATCTATATCAATCAACACATTATAGATTAAACATTATAAAAAGGAAAACCTAAAAATATACTGTAGTGTTGTGCTTTTAACATCAGTACTAAACTCTAATAACTATAAATTTCTTCATAGTAATCAAACAGATCCACAGATTTGTTTCACTTTGGTGAAGTTTCCCTTCTGGATGTAGCAGAGTTGATGCAATCCACTGTAAAAGTGACAAAAATAGTTATTTTATTACAGTGATTAATTTGACCTATATGTAGAAAATGTTACATTTACATCACATATTGATCAGATGCTGCTGCTGACTGATCAAGCGGCTGCAGGACTGTAACCAGAAAAAAAAAACACCCCTCTGCCCTCGTCGTAACGTGACGAGCTCCTCACTCAGACATTATAATTATTTCAGAGTCAACAGTTTTCCTTTAAAGCCACAGATGATTCATGTAATGATTAAGTGTCCCACATCAGAGACAGTTCAGGACAGTCTGTGTCCATCTCGCTGCAGGTCTGTGAGAAAAAAAACTGTCAACAAAAACATGTGATCAGCTGGTTTATCAGGTTAAAGTTAATCTCGTCGTGCACACGTGGATTTACCCCGACTTCTCCGGTTTTCTCTCACAGATCAGAACCGTTCATGTTAGGTTAACTGAAAGCTGTAAAATGTCCCCCTGTGTCTCAAATGTCCAGCGTGTCCCCTGAGGTCTCAAGTACTTTAAAAAAAACTAAATAAAAGTAAAAATACCTGAACAGAAAATGACTTAAAAGTCATAAAAATTGGTAAAGTAAAAGTACTTTTACACACTCTCTAAGAAATAAACTGTTGAACTTACTGAACCAAACTGGTTCCACTAAACCAGGGGTCTGCAAGCGGTGGCTCCGGGGCCACATGTGGCTCTTTGGTCCCTCTGCAGCAGCTCTTTGAAAACAGGACAGAATATACTTTTTTTTTGTTTTTAAACCCACAACAGAACTCAATTTGAATGCAAAAGTGTGATGTTGATTAGCTCATGTTAGCCTGTTGTTTACATAAATAATTCAACTTTTTTCAATCATCTTTCTCTCAAATCCATCAGAATTACCTTTTAAAGAATTTAAAAACTACATTATAATAAGAATTAGAAAAAAAATATGCCTGAATAGTTCAGTTGTACTATTTTTTTATGAAATT